GCCTTGATGGCGTTGGCGTTGATGGGGGCGTAGGGCCGGCGCGCCGCCCGCCGCGGCTGCAGCACGTCGCGGCACAGGCGGCGCGAGAGCCGCGTCAGCCGCGTGGTCTGCAGCAGGAACGTCTGCCGGTTCTTGGCCAGCAGCTTGGCACGGCTGGCGCTCGTCGTGTACGGGGACAGCGACTGCGCCTCGGGCCGCGACAGGTGACCCCGGGAGTGGGGCTCCTGGGGGGTGGCAAAGGGTTAGAAAGGGTTAAAAAACCCCAAAATCCTCCCAAAAAACATCCACGGTGGTGTACGGGAAAAGGTGACCCCAAGAGTGGGGCTCCTGGGGGGTGAAAAAGGGTTAAAAACCCCAAAATGCTCCTACACCGTCAGGTGACCCCAGGAGTGGGGCTCCTGGGGGGTGGGAAAGGGTTAGAAAGGGTTAAAAACCCCAAAATCATCCCAAAAAACCATCCATGGTGGTGTACGGGAAAAGGTGACCCCAAGAGTGGGGCTCCTGGGGGGTGAAAAAGGGTTAAAAACCCCAAAATGCTCCTACGCCGTCAGGTGACCCCGGGAGTGGGGCTCCTGGGGGGTGGGAAAGGGTTAGAAAGGGTTAAAAACCCCAAAATCATCCCAAAAAACCATCCACGGTGGTGTACAGGGACAGGTGACCCTGGGAATCGGGCTCCTGGGGGGTGACAAAGGGTTAAAAACCCCAAAATGCTCCTACAGGGACAGGTGACCCTGGGAATGGGGCTCCTGGGGGGTGACAAAGGGTTAAAAACCCCAAAATGCTCCTACATGGACAGGTGACCCCGGGAGTGGGGCTCCTGGGGGGTGGCAAAGGGTTAGAAAGGGTTAAAAAACCCAAAAATCCTCCCAAAAAACATCCACGGTGGTGTACGGGAAAAGGTGACCCCGGGAGTGGGGCTCCTGGGGGGTGGGAAAGGGTTAGAAAGGGTTAAAAAACTCCAAAATCCTCCCAAAAACCATCCACGGTGGTGCATGGGGAAATGTGACCCCAAGAGTGGGGCTCCTAGGGGGTCAGAAAGGGTTAAAAACCCCAAAATCCTCCCACAGTGGTGTTTGGGGACAGGTGACCCCCACGAGTGGGGCTCCTGGGGGGTCAGAAAGGGTTAAAAACCCCCAAAATCCTCCCAAAAACCCTCCCAGAACAGCCCCTGTTGGTGTACAGGGACAGGTGACCCTGGGAGAGGCTTCTCAGGAATTTTGGGGGGGGGTCTCAGAAGAAATTCAGGGATTCTTAGAAAGGTTTGGGGGCTCTAAAGGGACTTGGAGGGGATCTAAAAGGAATTTGGGGGGCTCCTAAGGGGGCTTAGGGGATTCTAAGGGGGATTTAGAGATTTTTAAGGGGGGGTTTGGGGTCTCTAAAGAGGATTTAGGGGGTTCTAAAGGGTAAGGGGGGTTTGGGGGTCTCTAAGGGGGGTGCCAAAGGGAATTTGGGGTGTTCTGACAGACATCGGGCAGGCCTGAGTGGAATTTGGGGGTCCCAGGAGTTTTTGGGGGTCTCAGAAGTTTTTGGAGGTCCCTCAGTGGGATTTTGGGGGTCCCTCAGTAGGATTTTTGGGGGTCCCTGGAGTTTTTGGGGGTCCCTCAGTGGGATTTTGGGGGTCCCTCAGTAGGATTTTTGGGGGTCCCTGGAGTTTTTGGGGGTCCCTCAGTGGGATTTTGGGGGTCCCTCAGTAGGATTTTTGGGGGTCCCTGGAGTTTTTGGGGGTCCCTCAGTGGGATTTTGGGGGTCCCTCAGTAGGATTTTTGGGGGTCCCTGGAGTTTTTGGGGGTCCCTCCGTGGGGTTTTGGGGGTCTCTCAGTAGGTTTTGGGGGTCCCTCAGCAGGGCTGGGGTCTGGGGGCTCACCGAGGCGCTGCGGGTCACCCCCTCCAGCTGGGTGGGGGTCTTGAGCCCCCCGTATTTCTTCCAGTAGATCCAGCAGGAGGCGCAGAGGCGGCACTGCATGTTGGGGGGGCCCCAGGCGTACCACTGGGGGGACTGGGAGGCTGGGGGGGGGGCATGGGGGGTAACGGGGGGCA